ATCTGTACTTTTACTCAAGTACTTGATTTGTGTACTTTGTCCACCTCTGTGTTTTACAAAGAACCAGTGTCAGAACATTTTGTTTTTGGGTAAACTAATATTGAGTCCCACACATGACATGGGCTATATATCAAGGCCACAAACTAAGAATTAGTCCCCACTACTTAATTTGTTCCCTCATTTTAATTAAATGGTGGCAGTGTTGAACTAATTTATTCCCTTGTTTTAATTAAATCAAAACAAGGTAACAAATTACTGGCCACAATTAATTAATTGAGGGAACATATTAAAAAGTCACAGGAACAAATTCTTAATTTGTGACTACAATTTAAACGAGGGAACGAATTAATAAGATGAGGGAACAAGTTCTTAATTCGACACCACAATAAATATATTTTTGTCTGTATGTCATCTGCGAAGCTTGTAAACTAATCCTAAAAATAAATGTCAAAAAATAAACACTAAATTTATTCCTGATATACAAATGTACACTGCCTTTGGGGTCAGTAAAATGTATTTTACTCTTGAAGAAATGAATATTTTTATTTAGCAATCAAGCACTAAATTGGTCAAAAGTGACAGCAAAGTCATATATAAGGTTTCAATTTCCAATATATGTTTTTTTAAACTTTCAATTCGTCAATGAATCTTGAAAAAACAAATATCACAGTTTCCACAAATATATTAAGCGGCTCAAGTGTTTTCAACATTGATAATAATAAAATTGTTTATTGAGCAGCAAATCAGCATATTGGAATGATTTCCGAAAGATCATGTGACACTGAAGTCTGGGGTAATGGCTGCAGAAAATTCAGATTTTCCATCACAGGAAAAAAGTTACATTATTTCATCATAATATTTCACAATATTACTGTTAATTTACTGTGTCAAATAAATGCAACCTTTGTTTAACATTAGAGACTTCTTTCAATAGAACAAAAAAAAAATCTTACCAACCCCAAACTTTTGGATAAACTTCTCCTTGGACAAGGTTCTATAATCAACAGTTCCCAAATGATCTGTAATCTCTGGAATGCTCTGCAGTCTCTGCCCTCTTACCTCATGTGAAACCAAGACGTGGAATCCCATCGACCCCTGTCTGTATACGCGACGGATTTGCTGTGAGGGAACATTGTATAGATTAGCCATCTTCTCAGTGAGCTCAAGGACAGTTAGGTCCTCTAGGTAGAGAGCATGGTACACTACAGACAAAAGAAGGTAGAGCTTTTTCGCATTTGGCTCCCAAACTCTGGAAT